TAGCCCATTTCCCGGACACGTCTGTGAACAGTGACTTTTGATACCTGGACTCCAGCTTCAGTCCACTGTCTTTGAAGCTCCCCCAAATTCTGGAAGCGACTCTTCTTCACAATGCTGTTAAGGCTGCGGTCATCTCTCTTGGTTGTGCAGCGTTTCCTGCCACATTTCCCCCTTCCAACAGACTTTTTGTGGATGTGCTTTGAAACTGCACTCCGTGAACAGCTTGCTCTTTGAGAAATTTCTTTTTGTGTCTTACCCTCCTGATGGAGGGTGTCAATGACGGTCCTCTGGACAGCAGTCAGATCAGCAGTCTTCCCCATACTTGTGATTTAGTTTACTGAACCAAGCTGAGTGTTTTTCAAGGCTCAGGAAACCCTTGCAGGTGTTTCGAGTTAATTAGACGATTCAAGTGATTCGTTGAACACCCTACTAGTATACTTTTTCATGATATTCTAATATTTAGAGATAGGATATTTGAGTTTTCTTAAGCTGTATGCCATAATCAGCAATATTAAAATAATAAAAGGCTTGCAATATTTCAGTTGATTTGTAATGAATCCAGAATGTATGACATTTTTGTTTTTTTAATTGCATTACAGAAAATAAAGAACTTTATCACAATATTCTAATTTTCTGAGACAGTCCTGTATACTCTCTTCAACCTCAAAAGACTGCAGGTACAGTTTCACATTCCTTGTGTTGCCACATTGTGCGCTGAGAGGCTGAGGGTTAGACAGCAGCACTGTCAGACCATACAACAGTGTCAAAAGTCCACTCAGTTTGTTTTTCCATGACTTTGTTTAAGCACTTTATGAATATAAATGTAATTTCAGTTTTTTACAGTCGAGGCTTCACTCCTGTTGAGCAGAACACCTGAAGCCAAACTCAGGAAGTATTTATCTCACCATGGCAAGTTCTCCAAAGAGGAAATACAAGAGTTTCTTCTTCAGAGTATTAAAGAAGCTGCTGGGGGAGCCTGTCCTGCTGTGTGTGATTTGTGTGTACAATCTTAGGAGCCCTCTTTACTGTCTCTAAATTTACAGAGATTAACTGTTTTAGTAATAAAATACTTTTTGAATTACTTTAAGAGACTTAGCATCGCCGGCTACTGGCTTAGTCCAAGTACCTTAATAATAATAATAATATATAACATAACAAGGGACCCGATATCAGTAAAACTAGCTCCTGTACCGTATAAGTTAGTGTCTTTGGAACAACAATTTATCAAAATGTCTATTATTTTTCTCTGTCTAGTAAGCTACCCCGAGAACTTTCTTCATGTGCTCGTACACCACGTAGGAGATGCTGACAGCTGGAATGACTTTGAGGAAGTTGGGGGTGAGTCCTCGATACAGTCCTGGTACTCCTTCATGGGATATGATGTGTTTAAACTGGCCCACCATAGTCAGCTTGGGTTTGCCCTCATGTGCGGCTGAAAGAAGAGGGACATTGGGGGTTATTGCTGGAACATTGTTCATTCTCAGTGTGTGTGGATGTCTGATTACAGCCTGTCTCACCCTGGGCCTGCATGCGTGTGCGGATCAGAGCCAGGGGGTAGGAGGCCAGCTGGCCGCAGGTGCTGGAGATGGTTCCACAGCCCAGCAGAACCAACACTCCTGGATCTGCTGAGTCTGCAGCGTTCCTCTTCAGCCAGGCGTTCTTCAGAGTCTGAGAGCATGGAAAGAGTTTGACAAATAGAGGAGAAGAGAGGAGGAAAGTAGGATATAAGAGGAAAGAAAAATAATGAAAGGGAAGAGAGAGGTATTAATTACAATTCATCTACTTCAAATGGTATGAAATTGTATTTTATAAGGGGCTGGACACTTGGGTATGATTTTAGCTGACTTCCTCAGTTTTATGACATTTGTACTGCAAAGCTGTGATTACTGGAATCCTACTGCAAAGATTATTTATCCGTCTAACATTATTACATTTTGTAACAGGAAGGACGGGAGAGTTTCACTGTAAACATATATTTAAAGCATAAGGCTGGTGATATTTAAATATGATCTGACAACTGGATGGCCTTGAACTGGCTCTGGACGTTCTTGGTTGCTGTATTGTCCTGAAAAGAGATACAGTGTCCAAAAACAAAATATAATCAGGCTCTTTTATGTATCCAGGGGAGGAATTAGGTTTCCTCATAGTTGCTTCAATTCAGAAGGAAACAAAACATTTATTAAATTAAAATGTAATCAAAATATTTAAATTAAAATAAGAAGTACAAAATAAAAATGTGCACAAAACAGGGGTCAAAAAGCTCCATTGTTGGCCAAAAACTAGAAGACTAAAACACACTGGAGTTTATTTCAACTCAATCCGACACTGTCCTGCAGGAAGAAATACTTACTAGCCCTCCAGATTGCACTAAGGAAATGACTGAGCCTTTATTAGTTCAACTCTATAGTTATGAATTTTAAAGATTTACGACAAATGAATTAGAACTGAGTGCCATAGACAGGTTGGGAAGACTGGAAATATTGAGAGTAGACTCATATATTGTTGGTTTTGGTCTTTCATAGGATTTGTTGACAATAAAAGTATAAAATAAAGAGTTATTTCTGGGGGTATTGATATACTTTAAACAAAACCAGAATTGTATTTATAATGAGTTCAAGACCTAGTATGGTACTCTTGTGTAGTTTCTACCAAAATGCACTTATTTTGGAAGAGTGGCTGAATAAGATGTAAAAGGAAATCAAACTGCAGGCACACACACCTCATACACTGCCAGTTCGATGCCAGCGTAGGGGATGATGCCCAGTGTGTTTGGCAGGTAGCCCCTGTAGAACGCCCGGACCCCCTCCCTCGTCAGGATCTGTCTGGCACAGTGAGCCATCCCCGAGTACTGTCCCGTCTTCCTCAAAGTCAGACGCGTCTTCAGAACCTATCAACAGAGCGGGAGAGACACGTTAAAGAGGGAGGGTGAGGAATGATAGGAGCAAGAGAGTAATCTTCAATCGGACAAGGAGATATATATACATTTTTCTGTTCTTTCATATACAAAGAAAAAATTAAGATTTTCCATTGTCCATCCGCTCATTGAGAGAATGAGTAGGGAGCCGATGGTCAGAATGCTAAACTTAAAGCAGCTCCAGACATCCTTACTTGAAAGTGAAATCAAACAGTTTTAAACTTCAGAAAGCAGCGAGAGATTTCAAATTGTCCATCCAACCTCATTTTATGAATCTTCCAATTACACATTTCAAACTGACCTCCAGCGGGTAGATGATGGTCTGGGCGGTGGCTCCTGCCAGAGAGCCAGCAATGAACCTCTCATGAACCCTCAAACCCCCCCCCTCTTTCCTTCCTTGAATCATCCACTTGATCTAGAGTAGGGAAGGAACAGGAAGGAATCAGCCATGGAAGATGTTAGGGTCTCTCCATCTAAGGCCATCAGGAATGACCCTAAATAGCAATTTCTATTTGACGTTCCAAGCAACTTACAAAAGTGTACACTGCCCGTCCAAAACAAGTCATCAACTTGATTTAACTAAGCAAACCAGTAAGAGCCTTCCATTGGATAATTACTGCAGTGATTAATACTGTGTGTGTCATGTCTCGGAAACTTATAATGAAAGTGTATTCTTTATATTAGTTTTGTCATGTTCTATGCCCTCTGTCTTATTGTGAAAAGTAATTCTCCCTCTTGTTTCAGGACTCCATGCTCCCCGCCCCTATGTGTCTCCTGTGTTCGTGATTGGTTACCTCGCCCTGATTGTTTCCACCTGTGTCCCTCACCTTGTGGATATATTGTTTTAGTTCCCACCTGTCCAGTGCCAGTTCGTTTTCATTCATGACTATGTTCAAGCCTGCTCCATGGTCGTATTCCATTGTCATGCTCTGTCCTGATGATTGCTATTAGTTTTTCCTCAAAAGAGTGATTTTGTGTTTCCCTGTTTTGTTACTCTGCTAAATCCAGTAAAGCAGGGGTGCCCACACTTTTTGGGCTGGTGAGCTACTTTTGAAATGACCTGCTCACCGAGGTCTACCAACCAAAAATAAAATCCCAAATTGCAAGGGTTGCTGAATAACATGTTTTATTTATACATGGGATAACTACAATAGGGCTGCAACAAACGACTAATTTGATAATCGATTAATCTATCGATTAATGAAACGTTGAATCGACTATTCGGACTATTACTATATGCCTTGCACAATTTCTCAAACGCTCTTATTTAGCCATCAACTTTTAGATTTAGCTTGAGGTTGTTTTAGGCATGTGGAAACTAACAATGAAGACAATAAATATGAATACTTGATTCAAAAATACATATATTATTAAATTAACTTAACAAATTGTTTACAAAATTAACATTGCTTTTTATTTAAATTAAATAAATAATATTTCACATCAAAAGAAACAAACATGTTTTAACAAATCATATTAAATAATCTGATGACAGAACTGTAAACAGAATAGCTGAAACTTTAACAAAATAAAGAGTAACTTGTATAATTGTGTTAACTCTGTGTGTTGCAGCTAGCATACATAACACCTGACGTGAAAACGTTACTCGTGGATGGGCTATAGAGCTACTAGAAAGACAGTCGAACCCGGTGCATTTCTCCCTCTGAATGTGGTGCACTTTTGCTAAATGTTTAGACAAATTGCTTGTGTTAGCGCCCTTACATGCTAAACTCTCTTGGCAACGAGCATTGTCCACCTCAAGACGGGTAAACGATTTAACCACACCTTGGAGCGCTTCTCTCCGCCATCCCCGCCCGTGTGTTGCTGCTATGTAGCAGCTGCGTGTGTGTAAACTGCCCCGCCCCCTCGCACAAAGACGGGGGAGAGAGATCTCGTCTGGATTGGAAAGATCGAAAATACACCGACCATAGACTAATTTTTTG